TTGAAAAAAAGAATAGCTCTCCAAGAACAGAAAAAGATTATTTAATAAGAATTGTTTTTTGATAAGAAGTATAAATGGAAGGAATCCCAAGAAAAATTTATAGAAAGGTAACTGCCACGGGCCTTCCCTCATGCAATCCAAGAAAATAGCAAGGTCCCCAAGCTTGCTTTTCCCTGGCCAGAGGTCCCATCCCGATGCACCAGTGTACTTTCCTAGGTTCCTTGAGGTTTCTGTAGTAAAGGCAATAGAAGTGTGAAGGACTTTTGGATAGTTAAAAGTGATAAAAAAAATTATTTCTTTAATTTTGAAAAAATTACTATAAAAGGAAATTTTTAAAAAAAATGTTGTGTACGGAAAAGATCAAAGTAAGTTTTTAATTAAATATTTATTATAACTTATATATAATAAAAAAATTAATTAAAATATATTTAGAAATCCCAACAAGAAGAATCTACGTTGTTTGATTATGAACAAAATAATAATAATAATAATAATCAAAATAAAAAGGAGATAATTTTTTTTTTAAATTTAAATAATTTAATTTTATAATTTTTAAATAAATTTATTTTATTTTTAGAAATTTTTGGGATTTTTTAAAGCATCAGATTTATATAAAAAAAGACTATTACAAGATAATAATGCAAATGTCTTTCAAAATGATCTAGAATTAAGAAAAAAACAAAAAAACAAAAAATATACCATAATTAATAAATATTATTATAAAAATTGTACTATTTATAATTAAATAAATATGCTGACATTATATTGCGTAGTAGCCATTTGCTCTTTAAAAAAATAAATAAATATGCTAACATTTTATTAATTTGTAATTAAATTAATATACTTATATTGTATTTTATCAAATCGTAATTTTATTTTTAAAAATTAAATAATATTAGATTTTAATATTTTTCTAAATACACATAATATTTGACATTTAATTAATTATAAAATGCCTGATAAAAAAAGATATTTACCTACTTAAAAAAATTTTTTTTATTTTTAATTAAATTATTATTTATTAAATTATAATAAAAAATATTAGAGGTTATTTTTGAACTATATTGTATATAGTATATAATAGTTTTTAAAAACATTGTATTGTAAATTAATTTTAATAATAAATATAATATAAATTAAAATTTTTATATTATAATAAAATATATTTTTTTATTATAATAAAATATATTTTTTTATTAACAAATAATTTTTTTTATTTTTTACTAATTAAATTTATCAGTTGTAATTTATTATATACAGTGGGCACAGAAAAGATCTGAACTTTTATTTCATTACACAAAAAGTGTAATAATAATCGAATTCTGGATAAGTATATTTTTGTAATGAGTTATTTATATTAAATAACTCATGTGCACTGGTTTATATAAATAACTCACTATATTAAGTTACCAAATTAGTACTAGATGTGAAAAATGTTGTCCAATACTGATCTCACTGCACAAAGAATGGTCGTAAGGCAGTTATAGGATAATGGTATAAGGAAACCTGCTGAAATCATACGAATTACAGGTTTTCCAAAAAGCACAACATATGATTATATAAATCGACTCAAAAAAAGAGACACTCTTGTTCTACTTCCCATTCCTGAAAGACCCAAAATTCTTATGGTGAAAGAGCATTGGCATCTCAGGCAACTCATACAAGTCAATAATACAATTACTGTCACTGAAACGGCTGCCAGACTTAATGAAACTTATCCCAACTTAAATATATCAGTTTGTACTATTTAGGAAGTTCTTAAAAAGAACCTCCAATATATTATTTGCCGACTATTATGTATTCCTCTTCTCCAACCCTTCCATATTGCTGCCCGTCTAAAATGAGCCCATGAACATATACAAGACAGGTGGTCTGGCATGATTTTTGCCAACAAAACAATATTACAAATGTTCAGAAACATATAACAAGTAAGTTACCGTTGTGGAAATCTGTGTCCGCACCATAGCATGGTAAAACACTTATTCAAAATTCATGCATAAGGAGCGTTTTTTGCACAGGGGCCAATTGCATTAGTTTTATTTACAGAAAACCTTAACTCACAAAAATACTGCAAAATTCTTGAAACTCATTTTTCCCTAATGTTTCACGAGCAAGTCGTGACTTGTATTTTCAATAGAACAACTCTTCCATCTATACAGCTCAGGTTACATGTCAGCTTTTCAAAAATCACTGTGTTCAAATGCTCGACTAGCCTTCGAATTTGCCTAATCTGAATTCCATAGAGAACCTATAGGCCATATTAAAAAATAGAGTAAAGAAAACTATAAACAATAAGCTTATAAAAAAAAAAAAACTTAGCACTACTGATTTTTGGTCAATTATTTAAAAGGAATGGAATGGTTTAGATCAAGATCTCTACCTTAATTTAGCCGGTAGTATGAAAAACCGTCTTGAACAAGTAATTGAGAGAGAAAAAAAAAATCTGACTATTGATATTTATGTATTTTTTTTTTATGATGATTGTCATCATTTTCATGAATTTTTGTGCAAATAAAATCTATTTTACGAGTTTTTTATTAGTCATGAGAAAAGTCTGGATTTTTTCTATAACCACTGTATATATTTTTTTCAGATTTTTTGAAATTTTTTGATAGTTTTTTTTCAATCAATAGGGCTCTTAACAAGTCAAACCAAATTAATTTTAAATATTTTTTAAGATATTTTTTATATAATAATTATATTTTAATCAAATTTTGCAAGCCTATATGAGTTTAAAAACAAGCTATTTTTTAAAACCCTATTAATCAAAGTACTTTTTTAAAAAAATTCGAAAAAAATTTATAGTGAATTATAATTGATGAAAATTGATTTTATTATAATATACAAATTTCAATTTTTACTAAGTTTACTATAAAAATTGATCTGCAATGAGAGCTGCTGTAAATGTTTCGAGGTCTTTAAAATAATATGATTAATCTAATTGCATCATCGATTACGAATTGTGTTACGTAGTTGCTTACTTAAGACGAGTACGCAGCGATTATCTTTTAATAACCAAACCATGTCAAAATCATATTCAGGCGCGGAGGTCGTCGCAAAAGCGTTGAAAGAACAAGGAGTTGACGTGGTTTTTGGAATAGTTGGTATTCCTGTTGTTGAGGTAAGATGTCTACATATGTATTATTTTGAAGCTATAATGTTTTCACGTGAACTTTAATAAAAAATAATAGGTTGCTGAGGCAATAATTGCTGAAGGAATAAAATTTATTGGTTTCAGAAATGAACAGTCGTTGAGTTATGCAGCAGGAGCCTATGGTATAAAGTTTTTTAGTAATCATATTACGTTAATCTTAATGACCTCAATCCTTACAAAAAAATCAATGATTCTTTCTTCGACTCACGAAAAATTCAAATAATTCCAAGGATTTCTTACTGGCCGACCTGGCGTGAGTTTTAAAGAACAATGCCATGTTTATAAAATATGGATAGTCACACGCTCAATATTTTTAGGTCTGCTTGGTTGTATCGGGTCCAGGAGTAGTACATGCGATGGCGGGTATAGTAAATGCTCAAGCCAACTGTTGGCCATTACTGTTAATTGGCGGATCTTCAGATACATATCAAAAAGGAATGGGTGCATTTCAAGAGTTAGACCAAGTGGCCTTTTGTCAGCCGCATACAAAATATTCTGCAAGACCATCTTCTATTTCCCAGATTCCAAATGCGATAGATAAGGCAATTAAAACTTCTATATATGGTCGACCCGGTCCTGTTTACGTTGATCTTCCAGCAAACTTTATTCAAGGGAAATTGCCTCAAGAATCATTAAATATTCCAAAGCGTGCAGCAGACTTCCCTAAATCTCTTGCTGACACAACAAGTGTGAAAGAAGCAGCTGAATTGATACAAAATGCTAAAAGCCCATTGGTGATTATCGGAAAAGGTGCATCATATGCACGAGCCGAAAAAGAAATTCGTGAATTTATTGAAAGAACTGGTATTCCTTTCCTTCCAACTCCAATGGGCAAAGGAGTGGTTTCAGATACTCACCCGCTATGTGTTTCGGCAGCGCGATCTAAAGCTATAGCTGACGCAGATGTTGTGCTGCTTTTGGGTGCAAGGCTTAACTGGATATTGCATTTTGGACTTCCACCAAAATTCAATGACGATGTAAAGTTCATTCAAGTTGACATATATCCAGAAGAGCATTTTAATAATTCGCAAATACGTATAGCTTTATTGGGTCATTTGCCTCTCATTGTTTCCCAACTGCTTTCTTGTTTTTCGTCATCTTTCAAATATCCTTTGACCTCAAATTACCTTCAATCTTTGAAGCAAAAAATAGAGGCGAATGTAAGTACCACTAAAAAAAAATTTGAAGATAATACTATTCCAATGAGTTATCATCGAGCTTTTTTTGAGATCAAAAAGAGATTACCTTCAAAAGATGTAGTTTTTGTCAGTGAGGGAGCAAATACTATGGATATTGCAAGATCGATTTTTGACGTACACGAACCACGATGTCGATTAGATGCGGGCAAGTAATAATTAAGTCTTTATTATATAAAAAAGGACCTGAGTGTATTAAACTTCAACACCTACAGGTACCTTGGCAACTATGGGAGTGGGACTTGGATTTGCTATTGCCGGTACGTCATATTACAGAAAGAAGCTATAACACATTTGTGATCAGACTCTTTATATGTATTCTATTAATTTTAATTTAGCCAAAGTGTATTATCCAAATAAGCGTGTTGTCGGCATTGTAGGTGATTCTGCATTTGGATTTAGGTAAACAATAATCACATATATTAGGAAAAAACCAAACCTTCCAGATTAAGATTATAATTTCAAATAGTGCCATGGAAATTGAAACGGCAGTACGAGCAAACTTGCCGCTAACTATTATTATAATTAATAATAATGGTATATATCATGGTCTTGACTCAAAAGATTATAACAATACGCTATTGAACAATTTGCCTTCGACGGCATTGTTACCTGACGTTAGATACGACTTAATTGCTGATGCTACAGGAGGCAAGGGTTATTTCGTAAGAACGCCCAAGGAATTAGGCGATGCTCTTGATGATGCATTAAGAGAAGAAAATAAGTGTGTAGTTATCAATGTTATGATACAACCAGGAGGCAGAAAGAAGTTGGTGAGAATTAGAAATGATTTTTACAATATGCATTTAAAATTTGATATTATATTTATTATGTGAAACTTTTTTTTTTAGGAATTTGCTTGGATGGAAACAACTAAGCCTAAATTATAATCTATAATTTTTATATTTTACAATAGTATTAAGCTTTTATTAAAAATTGCATATTTTTTTATTGATTGTACAATATTTTGTGGATTTTATTTATATTTATAAAATTAAAATAAATTAATTAATATATTGCTTGATATAAATTAGTTGTTTTAAATTTATTATTGTTATTTTTAATTAATATTAAAAAATATATCAAAACAAATTATTTATAATCAATTAATATTATATAAAAATACAATAGTACTTAATAATATACAGTAAAACTCTCTAAATGCATACCCTCTCTAAATACACATTTAAATAAGGTTCCAAATTGGGCAATATTATATAAATACACATTTATTTTCTCTGAACATATATAAAATTTTTTATTTTTATTATATTAAAGTTTACTTTATAAATGCATATTATCTAATTATTATATAATCATTATAAAATCAAAAATTAATAAGCAAAGTATTATTTGATATAATTATTATATCTAAAGTATTTTTATCAAATTTTCAAAAATATAAGTTGTCTTTATGCTTATAATAATAAAAAATTGGATCTGAATATGCAAAATGAATTGAAGAAAAATAAAAATTAAAGTTAATAAATTAATAATTACTAAAATTTTTCAAACTAAAGATAAATGACTTATTACTAAAGTTATAAATACACAAACAAAAAGATATAAAATTATTATTTTTCAAAAATTGAACTTGTATTTAAAGAATTTATTTTAATATATTAAGACAAAATAATTTTAAATGATAATATAATTATGAAAAAGCAAAATTATCAACAAAAAAATTAAAAATTTCTAATAAAATATTAATAAATAGCTTCAAGAATATAATAAAATTAAAAAACAAAAACTTTATAAAAAACTATATCTATAAATCAAAATATCAGCAAAATTTTTATTAGTTACAAAACAAATATAAATAATACTCCTTAAACAAATTTATAATATAAATAAAACTGGTTTCTTTTATTAATATGTTATATATGGTATATATATAATATTTTTTTATCTAATATTACAATTATAAATTAGAATTAGATCAAACTTTAGCTATACAATATTTTGCAAAATATAAAAAAAACAAAGAATACTTATTTATTACATTATATACAAATATTAATAAATTTTATAATTAAATATATTAATATGATATTTTAAAAATATTATTATTAAAAATATAAATACTTATTATTAATTTTCAAGATTGGCTTCAAGATTTTAACTATTAAATAAATAAAAATACAAAAGTCAACAAATATTTTTATTATTCAATAATTATTTAAGTTATAAAATCTAAAGTATAAATCTTTCTTTTAATATTGCTTTAAACATTTAATTTATAGATATAAAGATAATTGTAATTTTTAAAAAATATTATAGTTATAAAAAAAAAACTCTTTCTCACTTCTCTTTTTGCATTTGAAAAAAATTTTTTTAAGAAATTTTTAAATTATTTACTTTTTTCTCATTCTTCTCTTCACATTTTGATTATCTTCCCTTCCTTATATCTTTTTATTCTCTTCCTTATTCTTTTCTTTCTCTTTCAAAACAAAAATTTTTTATTTACTTTCCTTCTCTTTTTTTTTCTTTTCTCCTGCTAAAACTAGGTTCCCTTTTTTAGTAAAGGTTTTTCTCTCTAGATCTCTCTTTTTTTTACAAATATCACTCCATAATATTAACTCTCTAATCAATTGACTCTTTTTTCTCAAGAGTTATATCAAGAATCAATAATTTCTCTCAAGATATGAGCTTCAGAATTTTTTCTCTTACATAAACACTACAAAAAAAAATAGAGAGCTTACTCTTTTAAAAAATTGATATAATTATTATTATTAAATTCAGTATTGTTTACTTACTAATAATGAAACTAGATATATCTAAAAAACTAATATACAACTATTATTATTTGAAGTCTCTAAAGAGTTGTGCCTTATAGTATCCAGAGCAATATAATAGCCAATGTCAATATAACTAGTCTGATTATAGGTATTATACTGATAATTGAATAGTATAATAGGATAATACATAAAAACCAAAGATTTTAGTTACCTATAATAAGAACTAATAACAATAATGAAGTTTCTTGCTTACTTTTTAACAATACAGATTTCATTATATAAGGTTAAATAACAATAACCATAAGAAATTTCAACTCTATCACATTTAATAACTCTTCTTAACAACTATTATTACATGTTCAACATTTCTTCTTCATTTTGGGTTGCTTTTGTTTTGGCTGTATTGTTTGGTTGAGGTTTAATGAAGAGATTGAATAAGTTTATGGGAACTAGAAGTTAACAATCATGGGTACTTGTTTGGATGTTTTGTGGATAGCCTTAACATTTGAAAAGTATTATAGATCTGTTGAAGTCAAAGTTGTTATAGGTCCAATGGTTAACAAGAACATTGGTTGTATTTGTTTTTTGGTTTTTTCCTATAATTATTTCATTATTGATAAGAAATGCTAGCCATTTTTTTTTTGTTTGGTTGGATTAGAGTTGTACCGATTTGTTGAAAGTTTTGTTGTGAAAGTAGTTTGTACCAGAGGGGTATTTTTCTATGAGTATTGAATCCCAGTCTGGCTGAGATGTGATACCAGTTTGTGAGGTTATTATTGTTGTAGAGGTTATTATTGTTATATTGCAATAGTTGTTCGACATAGTAAATATGTTTTTTGGAGAGTTGTTTTGCAAATGTTAACTAGTTTGAGTAATTTGAGAGAAGTTGGTGAATAGATATGTTTCCTCCTGGAAGTTTGTAAGAATAGTTAGTACCAAAACAAAATAAGATATTGTAGTTTTTAGCAAGTTGTATTGTGTAGGTTATAGTGTTGTGTTTAAATGTTTGTTGATTTTGGAAGATACAATGGAGTTGGCAGTTTTGTGTTTGTATAGCAAGGATTTCCTCCTTCTTACTATGTTTAGTAGCAGGATTGGAAAGTGAGTATTGTAGATTGGAAATTAAGACTTCTGATTGCAGGTCAGATATTGGTTTGATGTTGAAGATGTGAGGATTGTAATACCAAAATTGAGGGAGAGTTTTTTTGATGTTGAATTTATGTTTAATTGTTAAGTCAATTTTCCTTTGAAGATTTTTGAGCATGTTTGGGGTGAGAAAGGTTGTTTGAAGTTTGTATTCTATGCGTGGAAGGAGAACTTTGTTGTAGATATATGATGCCATGTAGCCTGTCATGTATTTAGATTTGAGTGATTGAGAGATTGTTTCTATTTCTTTAAGAATTTTGTTATGGTTAGGTATGAGAATACTGTGCTTAGAAATCCAAATGCCCAATATTTTTATTGGTTTCTTTTTTGATAATAAGAGAATTGACATTGTTCTTTGAAAGATTTTTTGTTAGGGGTTTTGCTGTTTATGACTAGTAGTTTGGTTTTTGTTGAATTAGCTTTGAAATTATTAAGTTGGAAAAATTCTGTTACAATGTTTAAGTTGTTTTTGATTTCAGATTTTGAGATCACAAAAAGATTGAAATCATCCATGTATGCTATGGTATTATGCATTAAGTTTGATAGTTGTTGTATTAGGGCTGAGATTAATGAATTATAAAAGATAATCCATCAAAGAGGTAATAGTGTTTCCCCTTGATCAATTCCATCAGGAATTATAATTTGTTGGGTTAGGCCGAGGTCTGTTATTATTTGATATATGCAGTTTGTGAGGATATTGCTGGTTAGAGAGATAAAGGTTTCTGATAAGTATATTCTTTTCATTAATTTTTTTAGCATGTCCAGATTCACTAAGTCGAAAGCTGCACTGATGTCAAGTAATAGGATCCATAATTCCTCTTGTGTGAGTTTTTTGAAGTTATGGATTAAATTGAGAATTTGTATTGGTTCAAAGATGCTTTGGTTGGAAAGACCTGCAAAGTTGGATTTTTGGAAAATATTATGTTTTGTTAAAATGAGGCTGAGTCTTTTGATTAATATTTTGGTCAGAATTTTTCTAAATAAGTTGACTAGTGCTATGGGTCTTGTTTCTTATATATTGTATTTCTATTGAAGTTTTTTGCTGATGGGAAATATGTAATAGTTTTTCCAGTCTGTTGGAATTTCTTGAGTGAAAAGTATTTGATTAAAGATTGTGTGAAGATAAGGAAAAAGAGTTTTTTGAGTTTGCTTTATAAAAAAGTATATGATTTTAGAGGGACCAGGAGCCTTATTATTAGGGAGTGAGTTGATTGTTTCTATGATTTCATATTCAGTAATAGGACTCATTAGTGTATCATAGATTGAAGAATTAATATTATTGAGTGGAATATAATGTTTTTCCCATTTGGAGAGAAGTTGATTGTCAATTATTTGTTTGTGAAAAACTTTTTTGTAATGGTCTATAATTGTTTGATGAATTTAAATAGGATCTGTTATGACTTCTTTGTTAATTGGATCAATAATTTTTATGAAGAAAGCATGTAGATTTTTGTGGTTAAGAGTTTGTTTAATCATGATTTTTGGATTTTCTTGGAGATTTGTTATTCATTGGTTGATAATTTTGCTGATTGTTTCTTTTCTTTGTAAGTTATTTTCAGTTTTGAGTGTTTTGAAAATTATTTTAAAGAGTTTTTTAAGTGAGGTAATTTGATTCGTTTTGTTTGAGTAAGGGAGTTTGAGATTCTTAAAATCTTTTAATATTGTATGATTGATTGGAAGGGATACTTGTGCTGAGAGGTTGTGAATGTGAAATTTGATTATTTGGAGTTTTTTGTGAAATATTGTACCATTTTTATTGAAAATTTGCAGAGTGTTTTTATAGATTTTTGTTTTTGAAACTAATTTGTTGAGAGTTTTAATTATATTTTAATTGAAGAATTTCCAGGTTTTTTCAATATTGGATTCTTCGAGAAAGGAAGATAGGACATTGATAATAGTTGTGCTAATAGTTTTCCAGGTTTTAGAAGTTATTTTGTTGATGTTGTAATAAGTGGCAGATGTTTTTTTAGGAAGTTTGAAAATTGGAAAGTTTGAGAGTGTTAGTG